GTTATTTTTGGGCTAGCAAGTCTCTGGTTGGGGAGGAGTTTGGAATGTTTCTGGTTGGAGATTTTATCTGTGGTTAATGGTCATGCTGACCTTAGCCATTAGGCTGATGCCCTTTGGATTTAGGCAGTTTTTGATTAAGGTGAATTTTTTAAATGACAGTGCTTGTCCAAGATGGCGATACTCCTCTGTCAGCTAGAACCAAAGGTGAATACCACCACACAGGGCTAATTTTTAAATTTTTTTCCTGGGGTTCTCACAAATTTCAAACATAAGTAGGAACCAAAAGCAATTAGGCTAAGAACACAGCCAAAGACAAGGCACGGGAAGAGCCTACTTGGACAGCCATGACTGGCCATTGTCCACCCACTGCTGCTGGACTCTCACCTCCACACCAAGAACAGACCCTGCCCCTTCCTTTCTCTCCCTCAGGGGTCAAAGTCCCAGGCAGGACATCCCACTGGCCAAGCCCAGGCTATGTTGCCCAGGCAGATCTCAAACTCCTGGCCTCAAGCAATACTCCCACCTCAGCCTCCCAAAGTGTTAAGATTACAGATTATATGAGCCACTGCATCTAGACTGACCCTGCCCTCCTGATTCACCATTGAATCCTTAGCATCAAGCACAATACTAGACACATAATAAATGCTCCTTAAAAGTATGTTGAATGAATCAGTTAATGAATGAATGAGATGAATACAAATGGTACTATCATCCCCTGCAGTCACTTGGCCCCATGACTCAGTCATTCTTATCCCCATTTGGTCTGGTGTCAAGTCACATTAATTCTACCTCCATAGTCTAGGCCTTCCTTTTCTTTCTCCTGGGCCTTTGCAATAGCTCCCTGCAAAGGACATCTGTTGTTTCTGCATGCTCAATATCTCTTTCCTTTTATTTTAGAAACTGCTACCATTTGCTTATGAGAAACTATTTCTTCCATTCCCAGTAGTCTTGAGGGAACTGTCAGTTAAGGTCCTCTCCACCATTGCCAAGGGATGAACAGGAGATCCAAGCCAAACCAGAGATTAAAGTCTTGAAATGGAATGACACAGATACAGAAATTGGTTGGAACTGAGTCATTCAAATCATAGCATGCATAAGAAATTGCTTGTTGGGTTTTGGGGTTGCCTCACCCACGTTTAGACTCAAATGAGGGGATAACCACAGAAGTAAGGCAGAGGGAGATCAGAATATCATTTTTATTAACAAAGCTGCTTGAGATATGCATTTACTGATAGAAAAGCGGGGTTATGAATTCTGGACCCCCAGGTTAAACTTTTCCACTTGGTCACAGGCAGTACTAGAAAATCATCACAGTCCTCTCTCTTTTTCTTTTCTTCTTTGAGGTGGAGTTTCACTTTTGTTGCCCAGGCTGGAGTGCAATGGCATGTTCTCGGCTCACTGCAACCTCCGCCTCCTGGGTTCAAGAGATTCTCCTGCCTCAGCCTCTCAAGTAGCTGAAACTACAGGTGCCCACCACCACACCCAGCTAATTTTTGTACTTTTAGTAGAGACAGGGTTTTGCAAAGTTGGCCACACTGCTCTTGAACTCCTGATTTCAAGTGATTCATCAACCTTGGTCTCCCAAAGTGCTGGGATTACAGGTGTGAGGACTGTGCCTGGCCAATCATAGTCCTCTCTGTGAGGGCTAGACTGTGGAAAATGTATTAATAGAACATGGAGGAAGAGGGCAAAAAATCGTGCTTCTTAAGGGCAGGCATATTTGAAAGAGAAAAAGAGAGGAGGAACTGAGTTGTGCTTTGCTTCTCCCCATATACACTAATGAGATACAGGTTGAGTATCCCTAATCCAAAATGCTTGGGACCAGCAGTATTTCAGATTTTGGATCATTTCCAGATTTTGGAATATTTGCATATACTTAATGAGATACCTTGGGGATGGGACCCAAGTCTAAATATAAATTCATTTATGTTTTACATAGACCTTATATATACATAGCCAGAAGGTAATTTTATATAATATTTTAATAATTTTGTGCACAAAACCAAGTTTGTGTATACTGAATCATTGGAATACAAAAGTGTCACTTAGACATCCATCTGGAAAATCTGATTGTTCAGCATCACCATCATTCATGACTCTGAATTTATATGCTGTATCATTTTTTTTTTTTTGAGATGGAGTTTGGCTCTTGTTACCCAGGCTGGAGTGCAATGGCGCAATCTCGGCTCACCGCAACCTCTGCCTCCTGGATTCAAGCAATTCTCCTGCCTCAGCGTCCTGAGTAGCTGGAACTACAAGTGCACAACACCGTGCCTGGCTAATTTTTGTATTTTTAGTAGAGACAGGGTTTCACCATGTTGACCAGGATGGTCTCGATCTCTTGACCTCGTGATCCACCCGCCTCGGCCTCCCAAAGTGCTGGGATTATAGGCGTGAGCCACCGCGCCTGGCCTCATTTTTTTACACTTATTCACATATAAATAGTCAGCAGTTAAAAAATGACCTACCATTAATACAGTGAAAAACTAATGTGTTCAGGGTAAATAAGCAGCATAGTAGCATCATCAAAATAATACCTGGAGATGCTGAAGAAACTGTATTGTATGTCCGTGTTTTGACTGGGACCTGTCACACGAGGTCAGGTGTGGATTTTTTTTTTTTTTTTTTTTTTTTTTCAGAGACAAGGTGTTGCTCTGTCACTCAAGCTGGAGTGCAGTGGCACCATCATACCTAGCTGTAGCTTTGAACTCTTGGGCTCACACAATTCTTCAGCCTCAACCACAGTGGTGCCATCATAGCTGGCTGCAGCCTCTGACTCCTGGGCTCGAGCAGTCTTTCCACCTCAACCTCCCAAGTAGCTGGGACTCCTTGAGTGTACCATCATCCCTGGCTAATTTTATTGTTAGCAGAGGCCAAGTCTCACTAGGTTGTCTGGGCTGGTCTCAAATTTCTGGCCTCAAGCAACTCCTCCCACCTCAGCCTCCCAAAGCGCTGGGATTACACGTGAGAGCCACCACACCTATTAGTGTGGAAGTTTCTACTTGGGGCGTCAGTGCTCAGAAAATTTCAAGGGTCAGGCATGGTGGCTCATGCTTGTAGTCCTAGCTACTTGTGAAGCTGAGGTGGGAGGATCCCTTGAGCCTAGGAGTTGGAAGTTACAGTGAGCTATGATCGCACTGCTGCACTCTAGTCTGGGTGACAGAGTGTGACTCTGTCTCTAAAAAGAAAAAGTTTTTAATTTTGGAGCACTTCAGTGTTCAGATTTTCAGATTAGGGATGCTCAACCTGTGTATCATTCCTCCTCCTCTGGGGGCATTAGGTGGTTGAAGGGAGGGGAGAAGAATGTCACTCTAAAGGAGCTCCCTCCACATGGAAAAAACCGGGGCAGGGTAAATGTTCCCCTCATCACAGTTTATTCATTCCTTATTTCCTTATGTCTAGATTACCCAACACAGCCCTGGCTCCTAATCACTTCCAAGGCCTGTGGTTGTACAACTGAATCCTCTCAGTGAATTTTGGTTTTGCTTCATGTAGCTAGAGTCTATTTCTATTGCTTATATCCAAAGAATATGTACTAGTTTCCTATTGCTGTTAGTTTCCAAATACCACAAACTTGGTGGTCTAGAACAACGAAAATTTATTACCTTAAAGTTTTGGAGGCCAGAAGTTCAGAATAGGTCTTATGGGGCTAAAATCAAAATATCTTCAGGCTCATGTTCCTTCGGAGGCTCTGCGGGAGAACCCATTTCCTTGCCTTTTCTGACTTTGGAGGCTGCCATCATTTAGTAACTGAAAAGCAGGTTAGTTGCTCACTACATTCAGAGTCCAATTAAAAAGAGCAAGGTCTGAGACGAAAAAATGAATTTATTTGGAAGCTAGCTTGGGGAAGGGGCACAAAGCATCCTGCTTTTAAATGTGCCACTTCCCTTTTGGAGCAGAAAGCGGGCCTTTTATAAGGTGGTGGGAGGAAGTGAGCAGGGGAAGGAAGGTGCCCATTAGTTCTGGTGGTTTATCTACTGGGCAGTTGAGTCAGTGCCTTCCTGGGCAGAAGTAAGTTGTAAAAGTGGCCAAGTGGGCATGTTTTCAACATGCCTTCCTGATGGGTGTGAGTTCGAAGCAATCCCCCAGAGGGTGGAAGTTCCAAGGTGAAAGTTCCCTGGCGGCCATGCTTTGGTCTGTTAATTTTCCAAGAATTAGACGAGCTTGCGCTGAAGGGAGTGCCTAGTGAAGGAGTGGGTAAAAGGCTATATTTGAATTTCTAAAGGGCTAAATCAGAAGTGGGGATCAGCGGAAAAGGAGAAGAGAATTTTTTTTTTTTTTTTAAAGACAGAATTTCGCTCTTGTTGCCCAGGCTGGAGTGCAATGGCACCAACTCAGCTCACCGACCGCAACCCCTGCCTCTCGGGTTCAAGCGATTCTCCTTGCCTCAGCCTCCCGAGTAGCTGGGGTTACAGGAGCGCGCCACCACTCCCGGCTAATTCTGTATTTTAGTAGAGACGGTGTTTCTCCATGTTGGTCAGGCTGGTCTTGAACTCCAGACCTCAGATGACCCACCCGCCTCGCCTTCCCAAAGTGCTGGGATTATAGGCGTGAGCCACCGCGCCCGGCCCGTTTTGCCGTTATTTTATGGCTTGTCTCGGGCTTTGGGGCTGTTACAAGTGCTACAATTAACATTTGTTACACAAATCTTTATTCATATCCTTGATTTTATCTTTTGAATTCCTGGAAGTGGAACTGCTGGACCAAAGAGTATTTAAAACATATTGCCAATTTGTCTTCTGAGAGTGGTTTTACCCATTTAAACTCACACCAGCAACTTAATAGGACTTCAGTGGAGTTGCTGGTGTCACCAACTGTCAAATACCGAACAGATCTTCCCGCCAGACGTCTCGTCCCTCTTCGCGTTTTCCCGCCCACTCCGCACACCCGCCGCCCGTAGTGCACGCTGTTCCGCCCCTTCCTTACTCCCGCACCAATTCTGTCCAATCAAAAGCAGTCTTCCTCAGTATCGCCGTGCGGTTGGTAAAATGAAGTGTCCATCGTGCTCAGAGGCGGGAGGACCGGGCTGACTGACGCGGCGACGGGCCAGTGTGAGCAGCGAGTGGGACGTGAGTGGCGTGCGTGGCGCGATGGCCTGGAAAGGACTGGACCTGTGAGGTGTGCGAGCGGGTGTGAGAGACTTCCGCGGACATGGCTCCCAGCGTGCCAGCGGCGGAACCCGAGTATCCTAAAGGCATCCGGGCCGTGCTGCTGGGACCTCCCGGGGCCGGTAAAGGCACCCAGGTGAGCGGCAGGACTGGGCTTGGCGACAGAGCCGGCCGAACTCCAAGGTCAAGGCGGTCGGAGATCCAGAAGCCCTGGACCTGCCTGGAACGGGCCGGGGATTGAGGCCTGCGGGGAACGCTGGCCGAGGTCTCGGTTCTGGTGAGGCATTTCGAGGAGGGTCCAAATTGGAGGTCGAGGCAGTCGACCAAATTGGAGGTCGAGTTAGATTGGAGTGCCCTAGGGATTCAGTGTTGAGGCGCTTGCTGTATTAGGGAATCTAAAGGCTGATTAGCTCCACTAAGGGGTTAGAGACTGAAAAGGTTTGAGGGGTAGAGTAGTGAGCCCTGGGTTGAGGTGTCTAGATTACAGGCTGAAGGGTGACAGTTAGCTGTATGACCCAGGTTCCCTGCGAGTTGCAGGTGAATTGTTCACAATCAGTGTTACATTCCAGGCACCGGAGGTCGGGAGACTTTTTTGATAATGATTTATGACTTACGGGGAGGGGAGGAGGAGCATCTCCAACACGTGGGGCAGAGTGAGAAATGAGATGTGCTGTGTGAGCCGGCTGAGATGGGAGGAAATCTAAGGCTCTCCCTATTTGAAAGTTGGGCGTGAATGTGTAGAACTGGTTTATAGCCTGGAGAACCATGAGTAGGAACCTTTGAGTAGTGTCCACAAAAAGGGTTGGGAGTGCTCGTGGGACCTGGCTTGGAGTTAGGACCTGAGGCTACTGAAGGCTGGGCAGCTTGGGATGACTCAAATTTTAGATGAGAGGGAACTTGAATTTTTTTGTTTTTATTATTTTTGTTTATGTCTTCCATTTGATTTTTTTTTTTTTTTTTTTTTTTTTTTTTTTTTTTTTTTTTTTTTTTTGAGATGGAGTTTCGCTCTTGTTACCCAGGCTGGAGTGCAATGGCGCGATCTCGGCTCACCGCAACCTCCGCCTCCTGGGTTCAGGCAATTCTCCTGCCTCAGCCTCCTGAGTAGCTGGGATTACAGGCACGTGCCACCATGCCCAGCTAATTTTTTGTATTTTTAGTAGAGACGGGGTTTCACCATGTTGACCAGGATGGTCTCGATCTCTTGACCTTGTGATCCACCCGCCTCGGCCTCCCAAAGTGCTGGGATTACAGGCTTGAGCCACCGCGCCCGGCCTTGATTTTTT